TTCTATGGTATCGGAGTCTATATTTTCAACTTAAAAACTATTAATACCTATTAGTTATTATTATAAAAATAGTTTTATTGTACTTGCACCATATTACATTATTCAAAATTAAAAATATTATAGAATTGTTGTTTCACTTACAACTAGTCCAATRATTGGATTGCTTTTGCAAGCAGACATAGGAACTTAGCCCACTTAGCCACTCCTTCAAATTACGCTACTGGATCAATCACAAATTTTGAGATTTAGTGAATTGTTTTTAAAATATAAATATAAAAATAATTATCTAAATTTCAATGAAATTTTATTATTATTAATAAATATAAAGTTTTAGGAGTATTGTTAAAATGTAGGTAAAATCAGGTAAATTATTCTATGGGCGAAATATACCAATGATTGGATACTTTTCGGTAATTAGAGGAAAGCAGTTTTTGCCCCAGAAATCTGGCCGGTACACTGGTACGCCGACACTTTAAATGTTATCAAAAYCAAGTAGGTCATAGCTTGTAGTTAGAAGGTACAGTTATAGACTTATAGTGTTATTTAATATGGTAAAATATAAATTTATTTACTGTGGGGTGCAGTTAAATTTCAAATTTGAAAAAAAAATGGCCGTCAACGGCGTCAACAAAATGGCAGTTATTGCGAAAATAGGAATCGACCTTGATTATATAATTGATAACGACGATGATAAATGATAAAAATGCAATTTTATCATATTTTATTATCACCGGATCCGCGTCAGACATTACACTGGCGGACGGAACTACATAGCTGGTGTCGCAGGCAGCTGCTGCTGCAGACAGCTCCGGTCCACTGACCAATGAGAACGATTTTCAACCGGCGGCGTTTCACCTGTTCTGACGTTCTGTGGTTCTGCCGCGCGCGTGTTTTTGCCCCTTTGCCCGTCTTTAACCACGGCGGCACGGCGATTAACATTGAAATTGAAACAGCAATATCGCGATATCAACCGTTTTTCTATTATTAATTATTATTGTACACTTCGTCACCGTTGCCGCGTGGGTGCGCGAGCCGACCCGACACAATAATAATGATAATAATAGTAATAATAAATGCAATGTAGTTGGCGTTGTGTGAGCGAGATAGCGTGTGGCGCGTGCGTGCGCGTGTACTTTTCTGTTCGTTATTATTATTATTATTATTATTTTTCCCCGTTCGGTTTTACGTTTTTTTTTTTTTTTGCTCGCTTCGTCAGTTGTAACAGTCTTCGTTCTGTCGTTCTCT